CTCAACGGCGATATAATGATTCGAATGGGTTTCTTTCTTTGTGATGTTCATCGACAAATCGAAACCTTGTACAACAATCAGGTCAGTCAATACCATAACAAAATTCTTACAATCTTTCGAGGGCAAGGCCTATCGAAAGTAGACTTTGAAAAGCTCGCAGGAAACAAAGGCGGGCTTATTTCTTTTAACAACTTTTTATCTACCAGCACAAATTCAGATGTCTCCCTTGTTTTCGCCAAAGACGCCTTGAAAATGACTGATATGGTTGGAATTCTATTCCAAATAACCATTGATCCTATAATATCATCAACTCCATTCGCCTCCATCCAGGAGGTGAGCTATATTAAGGAAGAAGAGGAAATTCTCTTCTCCATGCACACTGTCTTTCGCATTGGTGAAGTGCGAAAAATTGACAACAATCGTGCACTTTATCAAGTCGATCTTCAACTTACGTCAGATGACGATCCACAACTTCGAGAATTAACTGACTTTATACGAAAAGAGGTCAGCGGAACTGGATGGCGTCGAATGGGTAAATTGTTACTACAAATAGGTCAATTCGACAAGGCCGAAGAACTGTATATGGCACTATTGGAACAGGCATCGGATGATAGTGATAGAGCACATGTTTATCATCAACTCGGATGGTTGAAAGACGATCAAGGAAAATATCAAGAAGCAGTTGCATTCTATGAGAAGTATCTGAAAATTAAGCAGAAAACTCTTCCGAAAGATCATCCTTCATTGGCTCCTACGTACAGCAACATCGGCCTAGTGTATAATAACATGGGTGACTACTCGAAAGCACTTGAATTTTACGAAAAATCACTTGAAATACAAAAAAAAGCTCTGCCTTCGAATCATCCTGATTTGGCTACTTCATACGGCAACATCGGTCAAGTGTATAAGAACATGGGTGACTACTCGAAAGCACTTGAATTTTACGAAAAATCACTTGAAATACGAAAAAAAGCTCTGCCTTCGAATCATCCTGATTTGGCTACTTCATACAGCAACATCGGTCAAGTGTATAAGAACATGGGTGACTACTCGAAAGCACTTGAATTTTACGAAAAATCACATGAAATCTACGAAAAAGCTCTGCCTTCGAATCATCCTGATTTGGCTACTTCATACAGCAACATCGGTCAAGTGTATAAGAACATGGGTGACTACTCGAAAGCACTTGAATTTTACGAAAAATCACATAAAATCTACGAAAAAGCTCTGCCTTCGAATCATCCT